TGTGCAGATTCGTCTGAATAATGTAGCTATCCAGGCAATGGTTGATACAAGTGCAACCCATAATTTTGTTTCTGATCGCGAGGTGCAGCGGCTTGGTCTGGCTTTGGTGAAAGACTCTAACCAGATTAAGGTTGTTAATTCAGAGGCAAAACTAGTAGGCAGTGTTGCTAGAGAAGTTCCTTTAAAAGTCAGTGATTGGTAAGGCCATGCGATTTTATGGCAGTCTCTCTTGATAATTTCTAGGTAATCTTTGGACTGGAATTTCTTACGAAGGCAAAAGTGTCTGTTATGCCTCATTTGGATGGGATGTTCGTGATGGACATGCCCAGCCCTTGTTTTGTTTCCCTCATCAAGGGTAAGTCTTCAGGGGAAATGTTATTTGCCTTGCAAGTAAAAGATGGTTTGCGGAGAGGAGAAACAACAAACTTGGTTGTTCTGTTTGAGGAAGAGGAGTCCAAAATAGTGCAAGTCCCTGAACCAGTGCAGCAGTTACTGATTGAATTCAAGGACGTGGCACCCAAAGAATTACTAGCAAGATTACCACCAAGGCGGGAGATTGATCATGCCATCGAGTTGATTCCAAGGGCAAAAATCCCCACCCAAGCTCCTTATCGAATGTCTCCATTAGAGTTGACGGAGCTAAGGAGACAACTTGGGGGTCTATTGGACATTGGGTTTATTAGACCTTCCAAGGCACCCTATGGAGCCCCTGTTCTATTTCAGAAAAAAGAAGGATGAATCCTTACGACTTTGTGTTGATTGCAGAGCTCTCAACAAAGTTACTGTCAAAAACAACTATCTAGTGCCGCTTGTTGATGAATTGTTTGATAGACTGGGGAAGGTAGTCTTTTTCACCAAGATAGATTTGCGGCTAGGATATCATCAAGTCAGAATTACAGAAGGAGATGATGCAAAGACCGTTTGTGTGACGAGGTACAGTTCATTTGAGTTTTTAGTCATGCCTTTTGGCTTAACAAATGCCCCGGCTACATTCTGTAACTTGATGACCAATGTATTCTGGGAATACTTGAACAAATTTATGGTTATTTATCTGGATGATATAGTTGTTTATAACCAGACTCTTGAGGAGCATGTTGAGCACCTTAGGTTGGCTTTGACAAAGTTGAGGGAAACACATCTGTATCTGAAACTAGAAAAATGTGAGTTTACCCAAAAAAAAATTTCATTCCTCGGGCATATTATTTCTGCGGGTGTGGTGAAGATGGATCCAAAGAAAGTCGAGGCCATTGTTGATTGGCCTGTCCCTACTAAGGTTACAAAACTGAGATCTTTCCTTGGTTTAGCGAATTATTATCGAAATTTCGTGAAGAATTGTTCAAAGAAGGTGGCGGTGTTAACAGATCTTCTGAGGAAGGATAGGACATGGGACTGGTCCTACGAATGCCAGGAGGCATTTGATCAATTAAAGGCGGTGGTGACGACTAGCCCAATTTTATGGTTACCTGACTTTGATTTGCCTTTTGAAGTCCATACAAACGCATTAGACTTTGCTCTTGGAGGGGTGCTGATGCAGAATGAACATCCGGTGGCATTTGAAAACAGAAAGTTGAATGATACCGAGAGGCGGTATTCTATACATGAAAAGGAGATGACGAAAGTCATTCACTACATCAATACGTGGAGGCATTACATGTTGGGAAAACATTTTCTGGTGCTTATAGAAAATGTGGCTACTAGCTGCTTCAATTCCATGAAGAAGCTGACACCAAAACAAGCAAGATGGCAAGATTTTCTTGCTCAGTTCCATTTCACGTTGCAGTACAAACCTAGCAGTGTAAATCAGGTTGCTGATGCCCTTAGTCGGATCCTAGTTGCTAATGGGGCGATGGCTACACTTAGCCAGATTGCAGGAGGTATGTTGCAAAGAATTCAGGATCAGACAAAGGATGATTCTGTGACCAGCTTACTGCTGAAGCAGGTCCAAGAGGGGGTGACTCGGTGATTTTGGGTAGAGGATGGTATTCTCTATGCCAAAGAAAGGAGACTCTATGTTCTAGAGTCAGGTGGACTTCGACAGATGTTGCTGAAAGAAACTCATGATGCTTTGTGGTCAGGACATCTAGGGTAGCTACGGACCCTTGCCTTGCTAGCAGAAATTTATTATTGGTCCCGTATGGAAGTAGATGTTGAGCTGTATGTGCACACTTGTCTGGTGTGCCAGCAGGACAAAACAGAAAGAAAGAAGGTGGCAGGTACGTTGGAATCCCTTCCGATTCCAAGCAGACCTTGGGATAGTGTTTTCATGGACAAATTTTCTGGTTGTAGACAGATTTTCAAAGTATGCCACTTTTATTGCAGCTCCAAAAGTATGTTCTGCTGAAGTTATTACTCAGCTGTTTCTCAAGCATATTGTGAAGCTTTGGGGTCTTCCACTGGATATAGTCAGCGACAGAGACACTCGGTTTACTGGGCGGTTCTGGACAACCTTATTTGAACTGTTGGGCACACAGCTCAACCTTTTCACCATCAATCATCCACAAACAGAAGGCGCAGACTGAGCGGGTTAATGCAATGTTGGAGGAATATCTCAGACACTATGTTACAGCGAACCAGGACAATTGGATGAATTTACTTGATGTAGCCCAATTTAGTTATAATTTACAGCAAAGCTCTTCCACTGGAATGAGCCCATTCGAGTTGGCAACTGGCCAATAGCCTCTTACTCCCCACGAAGTTGCCAAGCAGAAGTCTCAAGAGAGATGTCCTGCAGTATACCATTTCTCTTGGGCCAATCAGGAGAGGACTGACAAGGCAAAGGACTGCCTGACTAAGGCGGTGAAGAGGATGAAGAAGTGGGCAGATGGGAAAATGAGGGCAGTAGAGTTCGAAGTGGGTGACAAAGTGATGCTGAAACTGACCCCACCAATCTGGAAGAAGATCACACGGAAGTCTGCATATAAGGGACTGATCCAGGGCTAAGATGGCCCTTTCCTTATCACAAGAAGGATTGACAGGTTGGCATATAGGCTGGATCTTTCTAGTCGTCTCAAGCTTCATCTAATTTTTCACGTTGCCTTCTTGAAGGCATACGTTGAGGACCTAGAGAACCCTAGCAGATATGTTCGGCGTCGGGCACCTCCAACAGTCAGGAAGCAATTCACAGAGATATCAGAAGCTATTCTTGACCAAAAGACTGAGGGAATAAGTAAGAAAACCAGAAGAACTCATTACCTAGTCAAGTGGAAAGGGAAATCATCGGAGGAAGCCACTTGGGAGAAAGATACGACATTGTGGCAGTTCGAGGATCTCATCAAGCAGTACCATGCCTCCATTCCAACGAGGTCGTTGGATACTTCAGGTGGGGGTGGTTTGTCACACCCTAACTGACTTGGGTGCATAATGGTGGTCTTGGTGGCACCTTACACCAAGGCACGCTATGAGATTGAATCAAGGTGATGCGGCAAAGCGGTTCGACAAATTGGTACGAATTGTGGCAACATGAGACCACCTGGCTGAGCATGACAGCACATGGTGGGCTCAATTGAGGTAATGTGGGTGTATAGCTTCTAATTACAAGGCATGGGCTGAACTCAGCATGCACAATGGTTCATGAGGCAAGGCTGACTACTGAATTTGGACACATGACTGGCACATGGCTGCTTAATGCATGTGACCAGAGGATGTGGGTAGTTGCAGGCAGTTGCTGAACCAGGATTGGTTTGTGAAAAGCAGTTCTGGGCGTTTCTAGCTAGATTCTGGTCCAGATGCATGCTNACAATGGTTCATGAGGCAAGGCTGACTACTGAATTTGGACACATGACTGGCACATGACTGCTTAATGCATGTGACCAGAGGATGTGGGTAGTTGCAGGCAGTTGCTGAACCAGGATTAGTTTGTGAAAAGCAGTTCTGGGCGTTTCTAGCTAGATTCTGGTCCAGATGCATGCTAATGAGGGGCAGTTCCATATCAGTTGCTGAATGGGTGGAACTGCTTGTCAGGTGTTGCACAGAGATTAAGCTTGCTGGTCAAGTTTGCTATGGAATAACAGAATGTGGGTAACTACCCTTTGGCAGATGGGGGTGTCATCTGCCATAATCTTGTANCCGGTCAAGTTTGCTATGGAATAATAGAATGTGGGTAACTACCCTTTGGCAGATGGGGGTGTCATCTGCCATAATCTTGTATAAATAAGAGTGCTTGGGCATTCTGATAGTCAGAGAGAGAGTGTTCTGGCTTTGAGAGTTTCTTGTAAATTATTGAGTTCAATATATAAGGTTTGAGAGTGTTGTCTCAGTAAATTCGTGTATGCCTTCTGTGTGAGTTTCTGTCCCTTGTTCTTGAGATTGAGTGGCTGGTTGCAATAACAACGCCTTTATAGGTAGTCTTGAAACGAAAAATGAGTTGTTACCCGTGATAGTTTCCCACATTGCCATCTCCTATTTGTGTAGACCTCGTGATATCTATTGCAGGAGGTTTGTCAATTGCCATAACAATCTCATCCTCAACTATGTGAGATTCTTTGATTTTCTTGGTGCTCCTTTGAAGGTGGTCTTCTTCCTCTATTGATTTTTCCTAGAGATTTACGGTATTCTCCTCCCTTATAGTGGTGGTTGATGCCATTTAATGCAGATCCAAGTGATTTTATGTTTGTTAAACTCTCCCTTTCCTTTTCCTAGTCGTTTTAGAGGGAGAAAATGATCGCTTTAGAGAGCGAAAGTCAAGACTTTAGCTAGGAGCCCATCAAATACTGAGAATCACCCTAGACCCAGTCACATGACTTTGACGATCAGTCTATTTTGTTAGGGAATCCAGATGAATTTAAATGGAAGGGCTACATTCGACCAATTGGATAGTTAAAGCACTGAAGGGCTGAATTGATACAATTAATAGTTTAAGGGTTAAATTGAGATGTTAGTATAGTTCAAGGGCTAAATAAGAAATTATGTAATTATAACCTTGTGTCCTGTGCATAGCACCTTGAAACCTTGGCCTCCCGCTCGCTCGCCGCTAGTTCAGCATTTGAAAAACTTAGCACAAAATGGAAACCGAAGACAACTCGTCCCCAATTCCTCCAGACTGGGACCAACCATTCACAGACCAAGAACTCAAAGCCATTGAAGCCGCATTTCAATCTGCTACATCTTCCTCTCCAATCAAGCGGCGCCGCTTGGGTAGTTGTAACGGTGAAGTTCATCCAAAAACTCGCCGCCGATTGCCTGATTCGATATTCAGTTCTAATTCTATTTCTTTATCGCCTTGCCCTAAAAATCGGTTCAACAATTACCATCACTCTTCTTATCAAGGTAAAGATTAAAAGTTTCCCTTTTCCTTTGTTGTTTCTTACATTTCATTCTTTTAATTTTCTCTGTGACGCATTTGAAATTGTAAGACACAATGATACTCATCTGTTTCAAAAGTGAAGTGAGAATTTCATCTTATTAAGTGGAACTGTGGAAGTAGTATTAGGCACCATCATGGGCCATTCTTTTATTTCAATGAAAAGGTACCTGGTCAGTATAATTTGGAGTATGGCACCATCACTTTGCATAAAAATGTTCAAAAGTTTGTTTTGTATCTAGGCCTGACAATAATTCAAATAAAGGGTCTGGGATGTATCTATCCCTCCAAGTTCCCGTCGAAGTGGAACCGGAACCGGAACTGCACTGGGTAATGGCCTTTTTAGTTGTCTTGAATGCTGTTGAGAGGTGCTAATTATTCACTCTTTTACCAAGGGAACTACATTGAGAGATCAAGTTCTAATTAAAGTGAAAGAGAGTTTAAAAGGTGGTGCATCACATACCATTTGCATTCATTAATTCTATTCGATCAGAAATAGAAAAAAATTGTGTAAGCATCGAGATTGGTTCCCCATGAATATGGCATGTGCTTAGGTTTACTTCTTCAATAAATCTTGTTCTTGTTCCTACCACTCTGTACTTTGAAGTAATGTTAAGTGCAAGTTTTCTTATTTGAATAAAATTAGACCAAAGAATTTAGAAATCTTTGCAGTAATTTTATTATAGGGGTAGTTAGAGGCAAAAAACAAGTTTTCACTTTTTTTTTTTTTTTTTGTTCTATCTGTCAGCTAAGTTTAATCAAGCTGTCTTTACTTCTATTATTAATCTCTTGTTTCTATTCCTACTGCTATAGTTTGAAAGAACTTAGCGTGCATATTTTATTGGGTAAAATTAGGCAAGTGAATTCAAAAATATTTGCAGCAATCTTATTCAAGGAGTCGTTAGAAACAAATAACAAGTTTTAAAATCATTATTGTGTTCTATGTATCAGCTAAGATAATCATGCGATACCCTGCAATGGCTTTTGGAGGTCGTATTGTGTACAGCAAAACTGTTGCTGAGGTAGAGAAAGCTGCAAATGAGCTTTTAAAATTCGTCGAGGCTAGGAAAAAAGAAGACAGGCAGGTCATTCTTGGATTTGACATTGAGTGGAAACCCACATTTAGAAGAGGTTGGTTCAATAATATTGTGGCCTTTTGTGATTATGTTTCCTTTAAACTTTGTCTTATCTCTGCTAGTTAGTACTCTTCAGATTGAAAATTTCACTCAGTTACCTTAATACTTTGTTTCTGATGCATGAATGTATGTTTTACTGTTCTGGAATGGATTACTCTGTTCAACCATTCTGGGGGATCTTGTAGCTTAGTTGTAATTAGCATGAATCCAAAATATATTCTTTTAGATTTTTGTTAGATGAGTTTGAATGCCAACTATTTTTTGTTGGATTGTTTCTGGATACGTTGGAAGATCAATATGTTATTATCCTATTACTGACTTGCTCCCCCTTCCCATTTTGTTGCATAGTTCTTGTGAAACATTATGTCATTGTTTATTCCTTCTATCTTTGTCTATTATATTTATATCTTTTCTACTTTGCTGTGAGTTCTTCTCTACGATATAATAAATTGTCTGGATGAAATTGTGAGGTCATGAATAAGGGCTGGCAATCTAAAGGTCTCTCATGAGCTGGTAGGAGTACTTGAGTAAAATCAACTGCTTTGGTTTGGACTTTGCCTTTTGTATTTTTCATGTCCTTATTAATTTATCCTGTGTAATGAGAATCATCGCCTATTATTAAGAGATTCTAGTGAGGTCATTTTGATGATAGAAAATAAATCTAAGGATATTGGTTGGGTTTTCAGTGTGAATTTAAGGATCTTGGTGATTTTAGTTACAGAAGAATGTGGGATATAGATAAATGTAGGATCTTGGGGATTTTGCTGTCAACCTTTATGTTCCACAATAATTTTAGAAGCACTGGGGTGCAGTGACTTCGATGTCATGCAATTGTTTGTGGATATTAGCGCAAAATATTGGAGATATCTACCGGGGAAAAAGGAGATATTTGAGATTGTACAGGTATTTTGGGACATCTCTATGTGACGAGGGTAGTTACACCAGGAGTTATTTGTTGTCTTGTCTGTTTTGGTTAGGTTTAGCTTGCCTAAAACTACAGCCTTTTCTTTCTTATTCAAGTCTGTTTGAGGTTTACAATAGACAGTCTCTATCTTAAAAAATGTTCCTATTTTGTCAACTTGGAATTAGAGCTTTGAGTTTTTTAATTTGAATGTTTCGTTTTTTGAAAGGTTTATATATCTTTCCAGTCTGATTGTGAAGTTTATAATTCATTATCTCTCTTGTATATTTCCTTGCATTTCATGTCTCACCATAGGTGTCTATACTTGCATAGTATGTGTTATGCTTTTGATTTTTGGGCATTTGGTCTCACTTCTTGGGTTTGCAACTTATTGACAATACTATCTTTGTCAGCATTGCCCTTCTATTTATCCGATTGCTCAAATGCTTACCCCTTGTAGCTATGCTGTAAGATTATGACATGTGGCTTGGTCCCACTTAAAGATAGCTAGAGCCAGGTGCCCTATAATGCTGTGACATGTGCCTCGACCCCACTCTAAGCTGGGAAGAGCTACTGTTGTAATATTGCTCCTCCATATAATTGGACAGGTGTGGTAGTCTATTCGTTATTCCGCCTGATATGCAATGCGACACTCCATCCCATAGGTGACGCCTTAGTACAGCACTCTATGCATGGACAAGCACGATAGTCTGCTCAGACGAGGCTAATTACTATCCCACCTGGGAGGCAATGTGGCACTGCTGGTGATCCTTTGATACCAGAATCCTATCTTCCTGGGCTTTGGAAATGCCCACGTCCCCATGGCTTTCTCCTTACCTTTACTTCCACGCATGCAAGTTATGAGGATTGGACCAGAGGTTTGTTAAGGCATTGTACCGTAGCTGAGGCATGATGCCATAACACATTCAGGAATAATAGAGATCTAGCAAAGATTCAGCTCAGGATTTCTACTCTGGTTAGCAGATTGTTCACCCAAACCAGACATAAGTCCTCCATATGAGGGGACATCACGTGGGAATTCAACCTACGTACTTGAACAATTCATCTCTTCTGGAACTCTTTTACCTCAGGCACTTATGACTATAAATTCCCATTTACCACAGAAAAGAGCGGAATTTTGGTCACACCCTTGAGGTACAATAATTGACTTTTCCACTTCCTGGCGTGCAAACTTTTCTTGCTTTGAAAACCCACCATCTTTGCGGAAGCTGCCGATGAGCTGCAAACACTGCTGTCTCTGTCTCTGTCACTGTCTCTCTCTCTCTCATACCGGGCTGCCCAACACTCATCGCCTTCACTACTTTCTTCTCCGTGTTCATAGCTGGAATGCCTCTATCTCTCTGAAATTAAGCACACGGTCAACCTTTCACTTCAATGTCTTGTTCAGTTAAAAGGAAGAAGTGCAAGAAAACGTGAGGAGAAAGCACTTGGTAAATTTGTTGAGGTTTCCGGTGTTTGTACACGTTTTAACTTTTAAGAAGAGAAATGAGAAAGAAGGTTGAAGTAGAATATGATGGAAACGGAAGGGGAGGTTTGATTGTGGTTACTGGTCTTTTTTATGTTATCTTTATCGTTGTTGTTTTCTATTGGTTCTAGGTTTCATTCTTTTTCATGAACAGGGAAAAGCTTGTCAACAAGACTGAGCAGTGAGAAAACTGAAGTTCATAATAAGAAGCTTTGACTATGAGAAGCAAAATATTTATCTTTTATCTTGTCATTCATTTTATTAGGCATAGACTAAAAGAAGGTTGATGTATGGACAGAAGAATGAGAATGTGAAGAAAGAACTGACAAGGAAAAAAGAATGAAGACTATGAGTACTGGCATTCATTGTCATCATTCTTGTTGCTGCCGGCTGTACTAGAGTTAGGAACAACGGGATATATGTTGAAATTCTATTTGTAAGGGTAGAACCCTCTACTAAGGATTTCGACTTGACTTGGGTTAATCCACGCGGGCGACCCCCTAGTAGTCTTTACCTCTCTTCGCCAATAGGACCCTTTCCTAAGGCAATTCCACATCGGAAGAGNACTTGACTTGGGTTAATCCACGCGGGCGACCCCCTAGTAGCCTTTACCTCTCTTCGCCAATAGGACCCTTTCCTAAGGCAATCCCCCTAGTAGCCTTTACCTCTCTTCGCCAATAGGACCCTTTCCTAAGGCAATTCCACATCGGAAGAGAGTCGTCTCCCCCCCTGCCATATAAGTGAACACTTCCTATGGAGGAGGTACCCACTAGCCCGCCATAGGAAGTATTCACTTATATGGCACAGGGGGGGAGACGACTCTCTTTCGATGTGGAATTGCCTTAGGAAAGAGTCCTATTGGCGAAGAGAGGTAAAGACTACTGTATTGTCTTAGGAAAGGGTGCAGGTCAGTCAAAATCCTTTCGGAGGGAGGGAATCCTGTCCACCAAAAGGCGCCTTTCTGTAAGGGGTAGAACCCTCTACTAAGGATTTCGGCTTGACCTGGGTTAACCCACGTGGGCGACCCCCCAGTAGCCTTTACCTCTCTTCCGATGTGGGATTGCCTTAGGAAAGGGTGCAGGCCAGCAAGAATCCTTAGTGTTCAGGGATGAGATCCGAACGCGCGATTTCTATCCCTAACACTATTGTTGGCAGACATGTTGCACTACTATACTGAATCTCATGCACATAAACGCACAACTAATCAAATTGTGGGGAATTTCAACTTTCTTTTCAGCCTTTGCAATGTCATGTTGTTGAATGTTGTGCGATCCATGGAACCCAAGGCTGACATAAATGGTCAGGATAAGGAGTTCTACTAAGTGATAGTAGGTCAACTCTTGTACTGATCAGATTGCATGGTGGGAGGAAGGATGTGAGGGATGCATTTTGTTGCAAAGTGGTCGACAGTGAACGTGGGATGGCTTGTGATATGTGGAGTAGTTTGAGAGACACCTAGTGCTGTCTTGGGATATTTGAATTTAACAGGATCCTAACTTGCCTCGGTAATAGAAGATCCTGAATTCACCACAAGCTGACATTCTGGTCTAACGGGACGACTACATTGGATTTTTTAAGGGGTAGAATCTTGGAATCAGTATTATATTTTGTACTAGTTTTTCATTGGATACTGCCATTTTATTGGAGACTGTGTTGCCTGTAAGTTTAATCTCATTGGAAAAACATATAAAATGAAAAATTAAAATCTATCAAGACAAAAATTATAGCTGGAGGCTGGTAAGACCCCTTTTGCTGCCCATTATTTGATTTAATGATTAAAAATAGCTTAAGTCAGTACAGGATGCATTAACTTATTATTGAAATATCTAACTTGTACGAGTAAATAGTGAACTAGTACAATTAAATTAGACTATATTTCAGCAGTCATCTACTATTTAAAGGAACTAGCATTTAGAAATTACCTCAAAATTCTCACTCTATTTTATTGAAATAAGCATGCCCCTAAGGTACCACATTTTACAATAAGTGGCATTCCACGTTCGTGTTTCCACTCCATGTACCAGAAAGATCTGCATTTCAGGTAGCTTTGATTTGAGACTTCCTATTTGAAAAGTACAAATCTTGATGCCGTTCAATTGATTTACCTAACAGNCCACATTTTACAATAAGTGGCATTCCACGTTCGTGTTTCCACTCCATGTACCAGAAAGATCTGCATTTCAGGTATCTTTGATTTGCGACTTCCTATTTGAAAAGTACAAATCTTGATGCCGTTCAATTGATTTACCTAACAGAGTTTATTTCGGCATAGAACTGTTCACAGTTTGAACTAGACTTCCATGTTGGATCTGCACTCTGCAGGTGTTTTGCCTGGGAAGGCTGCAGTTATGCAAATATGTGGGGAAAATAATCATTGCTATGTGATGCATATTATTCATTCTGGAATTCCTCAGAATCTGCAATCTCTCCTCGAGGATCCTACATCTGTGAAGGTTAGTCAACTCTGTAAACATATAGCAGTTTCTTATTATGCTATAATGTATATCTTGTGAGTTCTACACATATAAGTAATTATTAAATGATGAACTGCTCAATATGTGCATAGGTTGGAGTGTCTGTTGCGAATGATGCTAACAAAGTTTTCCATGATCATCATGTATCTATAAAAGCTTTGGAAGATCTGTCTAGTCTAGCCAATCAAAAGCTTGCTGGTGATCCCAAGAAGTGGAGTCTAGGATCGCTAACTGAAATGCTTGTCTGCAAAGAGGTTATTTTTTGGGAATTTCTTTGCTATTTCATAGTACTTGTTACTCATGTATGCTCCTGATTTTGCATACCTTTATGAGAATGGCGGGGGTTGAGCGGTGGGTTGGTGGGGTTCACTAGTGCTCTTTTACACTGTCATATCTTTCGTCCGATCCATCTGTGCTGTTCAATAAGTTCCTGTATATCTGAAAGATCTGTATTCTGTGTGCCAACCTTTGCATCCACCAAGTGCTTTACGATATTCATCCATATTGCAAATTTGCATGTTGATGATTTGCTATCTGCTGTATTACACAACCACATATACTAACGAAATTATGGATAATCTCCCGAACATAATGGTAGTGTGAATTGGGCTGTATCATGTTAATTTAATAAGAAACTTTACAAAACTATCCATTTACAATCTCTGTAAATTAAAATCTTCATATGTACCTATTTCAAGCTCTTTTCTTTGTTGGGATCGAAGCCCTACTATTACACCAAAACTTGCAGCCGTTAGTGAAGGCAAGAGTTAAATCGCTTAAACCATGGTAGTGCAGAACCCCGTGTCCATATGTGCTACAGGTGGGCCTGAGGGACTTTGCAGTGCACCCTTGGTGCCTCGGCAGGATGGGTTGTCAAGCACAGATGCCACACCTACATGTGACAGCGAGTCCATGGGGTGATTGTTGACCCCCAATAAGGCCAACAATCTCCCCCAGGCCACACCTAGCGGACTCGAACCCGCAACCTTTTAGGATCGAAGCACTATTATTAAACCAAAACCCGCAAGCATTAGTGAAAGCGCAAATTAAATCTCTTAAACCATAGCAGCCTAGAGCCCCATGTCGATACGTACTATAGGTGGGTTTCAGGGTCTTTGCAGTGCACACTTAGCCCACCGACGTGATGGACTGTCAAGCACTGATGCAACGCTAATACGTGACAGGGTCCATCGGGTGATCGCTGACCCCTCCATAGAGCCAACCAGAGATAGAGCCAGGATTTTATCATTAGGAGAAGCCAAATCTTATGTTAAATACTCAGGGACAAGTTTTCTTCAATTATAGGTTTTAGGGAATTGTAATTCTTAAAATAATTTGTGTACGCACGTTTGTATTTTTTCTAGCATCCCATTTTTAGAGACATTTTTGTCGAAATTTTGAATAAAATTTTAATAAATTATGTTAGTTAAAATTTATGTTTTTATCAAATATCAGCCAAGTTTTATATAGTGGCTTTGAGTATGAGCATTAACTAGTTCTTTTATATCACAAAAAATTTCAGGGGTTAAATTAGTAACTTCATTTTTATGTGCACAAACAAATAATAAATGAGAAACTATTATCCATTTTGTTGCAATGCCTAATTTCTACAAATTTTTTTTCCTGAAAAAAGTATGTTTTTGTAGTTGAAGTCGAAACGAAAAGTATTAGTACAAGTCTGAGCAATCTATCAATAAGTAGGTAGAATCGATTTTTTTAGGCTTAACCAACTGCTAACATAAATCGAAAGTAACAAATAATGCACTAATCTACACATTGATATTGGAAATTGGGTGGACTTTGAATGTTACTATTATGTCATTAGATTTCGATTTACAAAGAGTATTTAACTAAAAGAATTCAAGTGGATCACAATAAAATATATTACTTAACCTACTTTGAGAATATTTTATTATGTGCATTGTTGGACCACTTCTCAGAAGAGTACCAACTGTATAAACAAGAAGGGTGGCCAATTTTTCTACATAGCAGAAAACTTCGTCCAACAATTAACATGTATACAAGTGTTTGTGGAAAACACTCTTCTCTCATTTCCTTCATAGTTCCATCTCACACTTCCCATAGCTAAACCCTCCACCTCCCACCTGCATCACCAACACCTGCACCAATACCTACAAGAGACCCAACCCCCCACCCCACCTGAAGCACACGAACACACTTTGAAAATAAACAAAGTGAAATATACACACAATACACAGAGAAGCAGAAAAGATTAGATAAATGGAAACCGACATCTTTGCCTTCAAAAACACTCAAAATCTGTCCTACCCTCCTGTGCCTATTTGAATCCATCAATGCCACACGTGATTCGAAGTCTTGGCCAATATCAATATGACTCAGATGAGTTGTATTCAACTTGACACATTCTGTTTCGAGAGTGATACAGGTTCTGTGTAAACCATGAGTCTCACCCGGCTTGTGGTTTACTCGAAGACGTCTAAGAAGACTTGGATGTGTTGCTTGACTTATCGCGCCACAATATGACTTCAATCTCTCACCACACGCAATTTCTTCTAACTAGAATTTTGTGTGTATTTGCTTGATACTGTTCCATGATTCCCTGGCCGAAGTGTCTTGGAGTCTTGCGGGTCGGCTTCCGATACCACGACCCAAAACCATGTATGCTATAGCTCTTCAACATCACATTTGCTTCATCACTGAGAAAAAGAGAAACATAATGTAGCATACTTTTGGGCAACAAAAATAGTAAGAAAAAGCCGAGTAGGACCAACCTAGAAGCCAATCCATTTGGATCATCTCCACTTAGTCGTAAAGCCGCAAAGCCAGATTTGAATTATTATTTATTTTTTACTTTCTGCCCAAATTGAGATCTGGGTGTTGAAATTTTGTTACCTTGTTCAATTGGGTTTTGTTGAATTGAATTTAATCTTGCTTTTGGCTTAAAGAATGTGATAGGGACCCAAACAATGCCTTTTTAAGCGCTCTGCCCCCCCGCCCCCCCCTCCCTCTCTCCTTTTGTGATTGATATACTTTCCACGAAACTGTTATTTTTTTTTTTCGAAATTAACAATCGTCTTGTTCTTATGGTTCTTAGGTACATTGCATTGGTTGTTTGTACTTGTTATCTTGGCTTCCATTTTTGGGTTGGGTTTTTGTGTGTTGCTTGATTAATGTTGGGTTAGAGCAGGGTATTTTTTGGGGGTTATCTATTTTGATAGGTAAAGAACATTGTTTTGGGTTTATACATTTTTTTATCAAGTTTGGATTACATTACAGCAAGCTTTATCCCTAACATAATTTTCCATTGTTTTCCCTTTTTCTGCATGTTTTCTTATTTTTATGCTTAGTGGAGACAGCTTTTTTATTATGTGGATGATAGGTGGAATTTTGCATTTTTATACTTGTGGAGTTGTTCTTTTATACCTAAATATTGTCCTTCGCTAGTTCAATTTCTCAATTTTTTATTGGTTTGAATTTAGTAACTGCGGATAGGTCAATGCGTTCTCCATCAACAAATGTATTCCTTTTAATGCCACTGAAATGATATAGATCTATATGTTATGCATAGATTTTGCAATTGTTAGTGTTTGTATTTCCTCTCTAGTGCCTTGGTTGAATTCTCTTATCTTAGTTATCTTCTCAGATTATTGCTCTTGGCGCTGTAGCAGTACTTGTTATTAATTTAATTCATTGTTAAGTGAAGCTTTTTTGGCATAATGCAGCTTCCAAAGCCCAACAAAATTAGATTGGGAAACTGGGAGGCAAATGTTTTATCAAAGGAACAACTGCAGTATGCTGCCACTGATGCTTTTGCTTCATGGTACCTATATCAGGTGAATGACAATGTATTTCGTTTTTGTTTCCTTAAATATTATGTCTAATTGTCTCTTTTTTTCGTGATTTTTTCTTGGGTCAAGACTGAAGAATATCTTCTGTCATAGGTTATGAAGAGCCTGCCAGATGCTGCTGATTGCAATAGTGAAGTACTGGGAAGTGTAGCACCACAATGATTTTGCTGTTATTAGCATTTCTACCTGGAAGTTTGATCTGCTCCATCTCAAAACCATTATCGTAAAAGCCATCACCTTCACCGCATTCGTAAATTTGGGTAAGATGGCTGAATGAGTACATTCTTTGAACCTTCTTTGTAGCACTCTTTTTTACTCGGTTGCAGTAATGGCTTTTAATTATTTGATACTGTGTAGGAGTGTGTATAGATGTGAACGATGACATTTGCCTCAAAACGCTAAAGTTATTTTGTTCTGTTTGTAGTGTTGAGTATAGTCTCAAACTCTGCTTCATAACTTTACTTGTCAGAGTGAGAAACTTATTAAACTTCTGCATCAAGATTGGCATTTACACCCATGTATCAGCTGAAGTTGCCTTATGTTTAACGAAGTTGTCGGTGTTCGCATTGCATTAGCCTAATAAGTAATCAGATATTGAAATCAAACTGATTCTGCTTCAAATGACCTCTTAGGCCCTGGGCTGCTTCCTGAAATGTATTTTCTATCCAAGGTTGGAATTATTTTTAATGTCTCGAAAAGGACTTCAGGAGCTTTGAACAGGCTGAAATTAGCTTTGAACAAAATTGTAAAGGAGGCTATGATAGATCACCGTTTGAAGGAAATTATAGAAAAAAAAATTCATATAACTAACCCCAAATAGTTGGGATAAATGTTTAGTTGAGTTGGGTTGACTTATGACAAGGACCGCAACAAAATTTGTGGGGAAAATCAAGCAATAAATATTGCAACATTGGGTAGAGTTTTTTTGTAAGTAACTTTAATTTATTAAAAAAGGTCTTCAAATAAGAAAAAATGTTTAATTACTATTTTGTAGAAGTAATTTATATACATCTTATTGTATACTAATTCAACTACATAGATGAATACATGTACTAGTACTAATATAATTAAGAAAGAAAAGTATCAATCAACCCAAGCGTAATATCACAAGTATAGTCTCAAAACAAGTCAAATCACAAACTTCTGAATATTTTTGTCTAAAACTTTTGAGCAACAATGTTTGACCACAGCAGTGTCATCGGTCTTGTTCTTGCATGCGAGGAGACCGAAGTCTCGGCAGTAATATCAAGAGTGCAATGTCGATTACCTATGAACATAGATTTTAAAAGCAAACACAAAAAAATTCTTGTCATTATGCTGTGATGGGCTTGGTTGCGCAGTTGAGAAATGTAGACCAGACCTAGCTCAAGTATACTGGCTAAGTCTACCACAGGATCAAGTTGGGATGGCATAGGACCGGAAAAAAATAGGTATTCGTCCAAATTCGCCCCATTTTGACTGGGGATGAACTATACATATTGGACGGTGGATGTATACGGGGATACCTGTATAAACTCGTACGCGGATAGTGGTGGGGATAGATTGACACTTACCCCCGCCCCGTCCCCACTTTTTTTTCTTTGTCCAATACGGTAACATTTATTATCTTTGTGTTCTTTTTTATGGCTTTCGTTAGATCTGCGATCCTTTTTGTTAGATTTGTGATGAATTTTGTTAGATCTAAGGTTTGTGTTGTGTTAACTATTGAGGGTTTTTGTTTCAGATTTATAGTGTGTTAGATACGTGGTTTTTAGATGTTACTTGTTCTGAATTTTTTTTTTGTGTTAGATCTGTAATTTTCATGTGTTACATTTGATTTTCTGTGTTAGATATGTAGTATTCTGAATTTTTTAATTTTATGCTACTTGAATATGGTCTTTGTTGAATACTGATTATAGTGTTAGATATGATTTTATTGATTTTTGAGTTTATTTTACTTGAATATGATTTTTGCTCTTTGAAAATTATTGAAAAGATTTTTTGTTTGAAAAGTGCTGGATAGACTTCTTGCCTACTCAGTATACCAAATGTTAGTCGTTATTGATGAGAAGAATTATGTGGTAGTTTTCAGTTGGTGACATGCAATTTTTT